CAGTGAGACCAGGGCGCATTCTTGCCCTCTACAGGAACTGGGGGGTCTCACTATAACCTTACTACCACACAAAGTCTCTGAAACGACCCGGGGGTCGTGTCTGCCTTCTCGGCAGGGGGGCTGGGGTTGCCGGATCTGGCCCAGGCGCCGAAAGACTGGGGGGACTCTCAGTCCTTGATGGGGGACTGCTGCTCTGTCCGCCGGGGGGTCTGCGGAGGGATGTCGATGGGACGTCTGTGTGTCCCGAGGTTCCTTCGGTCTGTGGGGAAGCGACGCCTCTGTACGGAGCCAGCCTGTCTCTGTGGAGCACCACTTTTCTCCCCTTTGGCGGCAGCTGCACCCTGTAGACCACTTCCCCCACCCTCTCCAGTACTCGGCAAGGACCCACCCACTGACTGTCCAACTTTGGGCACCGGCCTTTCGTTCGTTGTGGGCTGTAGACCCAAACCAGTTCCTCGGCCCGGAAATGCTGCCCTCTGGTCCTGATGTCGTAGTTCCGCTTCTGTCTCACCCCAGCACTTTTCTGCTGCTTGCGGGCAAAGGCATGAGCGGACTCAAGCCGGTCCTGCAGCCTCCTTGCGTACTCAGGACCAGGAGGCGTGTCCAGGGAATCTGGTGGCCGACCAAACGCCAACACCGCAGGGGTTCGAAGCTCTCTCCCCAGCATGAGAAGGGCCGGCGAACAGGCTGATGACTCCTGGACTGCAGACCGACATGCCATGAGCACCAGGGGCAGATGCTCGTCCCAGTCGCGCTGATGCCTCGACGTGAGGATGGCCAGCTGCTGTCCCATGGTGCGATGAAATCTTTCTACTAGTCCGTCGCTCTGTGGTCGCAGGGGGGAGGTGCATGTTTTGTGAATGCCCAGTTGAGAGCACATGGAGGCGAACACCCGGGACTCGAAATTCCTCCCCTGGTCACTGTGCAGGGTCTCCGGTACTCCAAACCGGCTGAACATGCCGGACACCAAGGCATCCGCGACTGTCTCTGCTTCTTGGTCAGGGAGCGCATACGCCTCTGTCCACTTTGTGAAGTAGTCTATGGCCGTGAGAACGTAGCGGTTACCCCTGTTTGACAAGGGTAGCGGCCCCACCACATCAACCGCTACTCTCTCCATCGGGTCCCCGACGGGTCTCTTGCAGGACCCTAGGAACCACCACACACACACACACACACACACACACACACACACACACACACACACACACACACACATTTGTATTGTATTATTGTATGAGAGAGGTTCCAGGTTGAATTGAGGCAAATATTTGTAATGTTCATATGGTTGTTGTGTTTAATATTCATGAGAATATTTGTCATTGTTCAAATGATAATAAACATTAGCATAAAGCATATTTGTCCACTCATATGTTGATAACAGTATTAAAAACTTGAAAAATATTCCTCTAAGGTACATTTAGAACAGATCAAAAATGTGCGATTAATTTGCGATTAATCGCGATTAACTATGGACAATCATGCGATTAATCGCGATTAAATATTTTAATCGATTGACAGCCCTAATATATATATAGGCCTATCAGAGGTTGCGCTAGACTTTTTCACTGTCCGTCATTTTGACAGGATCGTAAAACTTCTGTCAAAATCCAGAATTACCCGTCGGCCTTTACACAACTCTGACGAGGGGGGGAAGCATGCTCGTGAACTGTCAAGGGGGGGGGGGGGGGGGAGAGACAGTTCACATGCGCCGTGTTATGCATGGCTGCTGCACCTCGCGGGAGCGTGCACAGCGTCAAGCCAAAACTCACAGACATTTTAATGATTTGTACGGCACAGTTAGGTTTGGAAACGGTATGATTTCCTTTTTGGAGGGCATGCATAACACGGCATAACACCGGAGCCTCGCTGCGGGGAAACTTTGGCGCTGTTCCAAGTTTGTTCTAATCTGTCAAAATGACGGACTGCTTTCAGATTTGTCCGTCATTGTTAAAAAAAAATCCGTCATAGACGGAAAATATTCGGTTAACGCAACCTCTGATATATATATATATATATATATATATATATATATATATATATATATATATATATATATATATATATATATATATATATATATATTGTATTCCAGTCTCCCTTCAGATATGTTAAGTGGCATGTCATTCAACACAATGCTGCTCACCTCCTTCAGTTGGGAGAAAAGTTGGTTCAGGTTCAGCCTTATGGGGGGACAGGGCTGCTGAGCCTAAAGATGGATCTGTTGGACCTGGCACCAGGGGGAGGGACAACTGATTTAGTATGAATAGGCACTAAAAATGTGCCTGCATTTATTAAAGGTAGGTAGGTAAGAATGGAGAAACCAGCTCGAGTGCGCTAGAATTTGAAAGTACACAACCGAAAAAAATCTGCCCCTTCCTTCAGAGTTCCTGACAGAGCCCCTCCTCCAACACACACGAACGCGCACATGACCAATGAGGGCACAAGATAAGTTTGTGCACAGATGGAAGGCTGACAGGCAGTTAGGCCAGAGCCATATAATAGAAGAGTTACGACATCTCCGTTCACTCCAATGGACCAGTTTTTTACAGCAATGGCGGATCGTGGAGCCTCTCAATCGTTCCCCGGAAGTTAGCGGCAAGCTAACTTCCGGGGAACGATTGAGAGGATCTGCGGCTAGCAGTCTATGGTTGCAGCACAATAGACCGTTCGTGATGGACTTTTGAAGGTAAGAAGACGTTTAAAGATTTATATTGCGGATATTATCAGAACATCTGAATCAAATTAACTACACATGTGTATTAAAGGACGTTAGTGGATTATCCCTTCAATCAGTATATTTAACGTTTACAGATAACAGATTAGGCCAGAATGCCGGATAAAGTTAGCAACACACGTTAACCACAAACAGCCTTTTAATCCGTTCTCCTAATGTTATTTCCTCCAACGTTATGGAATTAGAGAAAAGGGGCTTCTTAACGTGCTTTTATCCGGGGTGGAGGGAGTTACATATTTGTTAAATATAACATTGGGGCGTGTGATTGTAGTGGGTGGAGGTGGTGACCAATGAGGATATCCATCTTGGAGTTCAAGCTAGTATAATATAGTTAACGTTACACAATAATAAGGAAGAGAGCTATTTTTGTGATACATCGCTATTTATTTGGATTTAGAGTGGATATTTGAGACTTCTAAACAGTAAACTAAAACGTAACTGATTGGTGAGTGTTTTTAGCAGAGTCATATTATGTCTTTGTGATTCTGTTGATTATAACCCGTCTGTATTATGTTGCAGCTCAGCTGATTTTGGATTGATGGCAAAGGGAGAGGAACTTAAGTGAGAGTGAAAACACAAGGTACGTTTAAAATAGGTCAGCAATTTCCCATCCTATAGGTTGCTAAATGTATCTAACCCTTTCTCCTGTCTCCCTCTTTCAGCACAAGAACCCCACGGGGATTCAATGGAGCCTGAAGACCTGCAATGAGACCCTGCACCTGAGTCTCAACTCCCAGAGCTTTGCAAGCCTCTCCCTGTTCCTTATTTGAATTAAACAGACGTTAAGCTTCCCGATGGTGTGGTCTTCGTTTTGTGAAAAATATGATTACTGTTATGGAAATAATTGTCATAGACGCCAAGATGTGACATACAGGACAAACCTTGATGTCTGTTTACCTCCTTTAAGGACACAGGCTGCTTAGCCAATAATGTTATTGTTCCCATTCTGTGACCGGTCAATACTGGGTCACAGATGGTCTGTGTTGTGGGTACACTGGGACACTTCCTTCTCTGTATTTGTGGACTCCAAGGTGAAATCTTCGAGGTCATAAGTGTCCGACGCAAGTAGCTCAGTGTTCCCACACTGTTTAGGCTATCTTCTCAAATATGTTGTTTACTCTCTGCGAAACCAGTTAGATGGGCTGGCAAGAGAGAGGCTCTCCAGAATTGACGTGGCAACTCTACCGTGAAGTCAGAACCTCTGACTCTTGGATTTGTGATGTGAATCCTCCGGCCGTAACTCCAAATAAACCATCATGTGTTTGACATCAAAGCTATACTGCTCCTACCGTGTCTCCTTCCTGAGTCGGTGACTCCCACTGCATAGCTACACAGAAGTTTCCTCTACAATTACCTCACATATGTTGTTGCTGTTGTTGTCTTTTGTGATAGTTAAATTGCTCCTGCTGACTTGAGCCAGCCATTCTTTCCTCCTCTCTGTGTCAGTGGGGAAACCTTACATGTGTACTCCTTTCTCTGAGCGATTGGAGCATCCCCCGGCAGCACAGCAAACCATGGGGGAGACTATATGCCAGGACAACACGGAGGAAAAGGCACAGACAAACTGCATGCATGCTATTCAATGTTTATTGAATTCCATTTATTTACTGTCAGTTGACAATCATTGATAGGCACCTGTCGGTCTCCTGTCCTTTCTGAAAGTCATAAAGAAGACATTACTTATTTAGATTACTTATGTCTTCAATTACCAAGGGATTACTGAAACCACCATGAATTAAAGAAATTGTAGAAATGAATCTAATCAGAATTTTGAAACATTCCTTCCCTCCCTCTAAATATATCAAACATTAGGAAGTGATGCTCCTGACTACCATTCAAGTTTAAGAAGATAATATTTGTTTTAAACAATTCAAAGCAATAAACAGCAACAGGCTCTTTAACCATGTATATGTTAACAGGTAAGATAGCTGTGCACACTATGTATATTTTATGCTATTTTATTTCTATTTGAGATGTTTACATTTTCGATTGTTTAATTCTAGTCTTTTAACTGTCTTATGTACAATGCCTTGTCTTTTGCTGCTGCAAAGCAAACATTTCCCAAATTGGTATCAATAAAGTACTTCCGAAGAATAGACAGGAATGTGACGGTGAGGTGCAAACTGTGTCCAGGCCAGAAGCTGTTATCCACTGCTGTAAACACCACGTCAAACACCTGCAAAGAACACATGCTAAGGTGTAGGGCAGGGGTGCCCACACTTTTTGGGCCGGTGGGCTACTTTTGAAATGACCAGCTCACCGAGGTCTACCAACCAAAAATAAAATCTCAAATTGCAAGGGGCTGAATAACACGTTTTATTTATACATGGGATAACTACAGAAACAAATACCTAAAAAGGCATGTGAACCTCTCTATTAAGAAACCAATCTCCATGTCCTGAAATCTCAAGTACAAGTACAAGTACTGATCATGTCAACCACAGTTGACATGATCAGTTCTGTCTTTCCCTTGTAGCTCCAAGTTCAGCTAATTTAACATGTGTGTAATGTCTGTTAAGAACGCCAGATCTAACAGCCACTCCTCGTCATCTAGACGTGCGTACTCCGCGAGCTTGGTGCCATGGAGAAATGCCTTTATCTCCGGTAGAAGCACTCGAAATCTCTCGAGAAAATTGCCCCTACTCAGCCATCTTACGTCGGTGTGTAGTAAGAGGTCAGTGTGAACACAGTCGGCATCCTCCAGATATGCACGAAACAGCCGTCTTTGAAGAGGTCTTGCCCGAATAGAACAGGCCACTTTAAGTGACACATCCATTACCTCTTTCATGTTCAGCATTTTAGCACAAAGTGCGTGCTGGTGTATGATGCAGTGATAATTCAGAAAGTCAGGGAATATGTCATCCTCTCTGCATTTTGCGATGAAGCCATTACACCGGCCCACCATCGCAGGCGCACCATCCGTTGTGATGGAACTCAACTTAGACATGGGGAGTTTAGTTTTGTCAACAAAGTTTTTAAACGTCCGAAAAATGTCCTCGCCCCGAGTGTGTTCCTTCTGTGGTAACCGTGACTGAGGTTGCCACATGTAAAGCTAGTACTTGACAACGCCAACTCCTGCTAAGGGGCAGGAGGAACCCGTGGACCCTAAATGTAAGTCGTGGATCGCTTTGTTTAAAGCTTCCCTTAATCGGTCCAATTATGACAGAGGCATGAATTCCAAAAACATAACACAGCTTTATTTAATAAGTGTTTGGAAACAGTTTAAAATGTCGATTCATGTCCAGTATAAAAATGGCAAATACAATTCAATACATATATAAGTTACCCTCCTCAGTTGGGCAGGCCCGGTCCGCTGGGTTGCAGTGCCTGCTAATCGTGAGGGACAAAAACAAGAAAAGCCACACACCAAAACAACATAAGCATGCAATATTTAAACCACAATCTCTATAAAATAATAACAGTGAGTTATTTAGCATACAGAAAATAAAGTGTCACACCGTGCAGTCCCTACACTGAAGGCAGGCAGCGTTCCACCCGGGCCCAGGCCTACGCCGCAGAGGAGCGCAACCTACGACACAAATATTAAAATGATTATACTGCCATACACTGCACATGAAGAAAATGGGTAAGAAAATACACAAGAAACACTATAGGACAGTGGCTGGCCTGGTCCTTTTGAAAAGGAAACAACATAACATGTTAGTTGCCAGCCTCATTCACCAACTCAATATAAAATGAAAGAGTTCAAAACAAGGCATACTTCCACAGAGTAGGTTTCCAACTCGGCTTAATCCTGCCGGGGAAATGGTCACTTAATATCCCGGGTAGCTGGGCCGGTTGTGTACATTAAGCTCTGTAAAAACACATACATAAGTTGCTTAAAAACACAATTAAAAACGTCGGTTTAAAAACGCCATTTAAAAGCAAATTACTCATAACAGACCCGGTCTTGTGCCTGTCGGGAGAGTTTTCCTCCGTCAATGGTAAACTCTCGTCTTGCACTCGCCCTAATAAAACCAAACTAAATGAGCCACTTGCATAAGTTAATTTAAAAGAACATAAAACCACCTTAAAACTGTTATTCCTACCTTTGTGAGAGGGAGAAGACCAGTGACAAGCAGCCAAGAGAGACTTTCTTGAACTGACGGCAAACTTTTTATGGCTTCCTGTTTACTCGGTCACCGGTCATGTGACCGCATCAGGTGACAATGACGTCAGATTCCCACACTTCATTGGCAGAATTGTCAGCAGTTCCTCTTTCGCCGTCATGTCTGTGAACACCATCCGGATAAAAACGCACAATTGTGCTGTATCGCTCACGTCAGTGGACTCGTCTAGTTGGAGTGAGAAACACTCGCAGTCTTCTATGTCCTTCCTGAGTTGCTGGGTCAAATCCTCAGCCATGACTTCACAGCGACGTGTGACTGTGCTCCGTGATAATTGGACGGCCTTGATAGCGTTTACTATTTCTGTTTTGTTTGTGTAATCCCGAAACAAGGCGTCTGCTGCTTCTACGAAGGCTTCTTTCACCATCTCTCCATCTTGAAAGGATTTTTTGTGTTTGATTATAGCGTGACTCACTCGTAGAGATGCTTCAGTGGCTGCCTTTGCGGTGGATGTCGGCTTTAAGAAAAGTGACTGCTGTCCAGCTAATTGTGACTTAAGTTCCCTCACCTTTCTCTTTCTCAACTCGCTACTCGGAGGGAAGTCGCTGTCATATGCCTTGTGAACACTCCGATAATGCCTCTCCACGTTACATTTCTTTGGCAGAGCGACGCTTGCTTTACAAATAAGGCAAATCACGTTTGAATGTGACATCACAAAAAAAATATTCTTCCTCCCATTCTGGGTGGAAGTGGTATGTTTTTAGCTTCTTGCTCGGTCCCGCACTCATTTTGTTATTTGTCTCTTGTTTACATTAATTTGAGTTTTCCCGCACTTGACTGATTTTATATCGCTTTGCATTCTGGGTTAACAGACTGGAAAGCGATAGGTCGCTTTTTCTGTCAATCAAGTAAACTCCTGAATTAAGTGGCAGGGAGGCCAAGGGAGGAGGGTTCAAAACCTGTTTTGTCTATTTTAACGGAGCTGGATTTTTTTTTTTTAATGAATGACTCGCGGTCTACCAGCATTGCCCCCGCGGGCGACCGGTCGCCCGCGGTCGACGTACTGGGCACCTCTGTAGGGGTTTCACCAACTAATCGACTAGTCGACTACCTTTACCACTAGTCGGCGCTGTAGGCCCTAGTCGACTAGTCGTGAAAAAAATGGAGGTAAACGAGGTGCTGCAAAATGCTTCAAAACACGTCCGACATTCTTATGTATGGCAGTACTTCAACAAAGATGTAACCAACTCCACAGTGAAGTGTCAGTTGTGTACAGCTGTACTGAAGTACAACAAAAATACATCTGCTATGCGCAACCATCTGAAGATGAGACACCCGCTGCCGACAGCTAGCACTAGCAGTAATGCTAGCACCAGTGAGCAACGGACCGGCGTCAGCACAGGACAGAGGCAGACGAGCAGCAAAAAAACGGGTCAACAGTGATGCGGATGATGAGCTACGCGATTACTGCCAGCGGACACTGCATATCCCCACAATGGATAACCCACTGGAGTGGTGGGCAGAAAATATGCACCGCGTCCCCCGTTTAGCCAAGCTTTCGAGGAGCTATTCCAGCCACAGGCACCCCGAGTGAGAGGGTTTTTTCCCTGGCAGGCAACACTGTCACCCGAAAGCGGTCAAGCCTCCTTCCCTCACATGTCGATGCGTTGGTGTTCCTCAATGCAAACCAAACATCTGGAAAGGTGGACGTTATCGTGGAGGACAGCGAGTAAAGTGTTGCGCAATGCGCTGTTGCGCACTGGATTTACGTGGCATTTCAGTAAACAGTTTTTTGCTGTCGATTTTGGTGAGTCCAGTTACTGTTTGTTATTTACTAAGTCCAGTTACTGTTTGTTATTTACTAAGTCCAGTTACTGTTTGTTATTTACTCAGCCATGTAACACAAATTAAAATGCAGTGTTTAATGTAACTGTATGAGTTCCAATATAAAATACAGTTGTACACCTCTCTTTGTGTGTCTTTATTATGACGTAACGACTAGTCGACTGCTATTTTGAAAAACGTGTCGACTAGTAAATATTGGTAGTTGTGAAACCCCTACTAAGGTGAAGCTACCGCACACGCTATTTGTTGTTTGTTTATATCACGTAGTCTGTTCTTCTTCACTGTCTTCCGGTTGTTGTCAGTTTTGAATGACAAATACACACTACCGCCGCCTGCTGGTAAGGAAAGTTATTGCCACTCACGCATGCGCAGTTCGTACGTGCTCGGCGAGTAAAGTAACGAGTTACTTTATGTAGATAGTAACGAAGTAGTGTAATATATTACTTTTTTAAAAGTAATATGTAATATATTACATTAGTTTAGTAACGACCCCATCTCTGGAGTTGGCGTTCTCTACTCTGGTTTACATGAAGAACAACAGGAGGTCACGGCTCTCTGTTGAACAGGACTTGCGAGTGGCCCTCTCCTCAGTGTCACCAAGGATAAAAAAATTATGCGCGCCACGACAGGCACATGTATCTCACTCATTTGTAAGTCGGCAAAAATATTTACAATAGCACATGTTTCAATGCTGATTGCTGAAATGTTACATTTATAATTTGTAGTTCAGGACCATGGACAATGCAGCTTCCTTGCATTGACAGTTCTCTGTGCTGAATTTCTGCTGACTTTCCTTTGCCTCATTTTTAATGTTGTGACCTGTCTGGTTTAAATGAGTGTGTTGCTGCTTTGATGAAGCCTAATTTGATAAAGTTTCAAATTAATTTCTGAAATATTTCGTTAATAAATATTTCATGAGTAATATAGTTGTCTTTGTCACATTTTATTTGGCATTAGTAAATAATTATGCACATTTACAGATATTTTACATGATATGAGTGATAACACGTGTTATAAGGGCTATTTTGCACAATAGGTGTGCCTTGAGATCTTTACTTGTCCTTTGGTGTGCCTTGGGCACAAAAAGTTTGGGAACCACTGCGTTAGTGTACCTTGTTAGCTAATGTTAGCTAGCTGACATTAACGTTACACATTGCACTCATATTACTCGCCGAAACCTTGTAAAGCCGGTCCCGCATGCTGGCTCTTACAGAACCGACTAACTCCCCTTTCGTGTATGTACAGCTCTCAACATGCCAAGACTTGTAAGGCAAGGCAAGGCAAGTTTATTTATATAGCACTTTTCAACACAAGGCAATTCAAAGTGCTTTACAAAAAATGAAAGAGATTAAGAAAATGGCATTTAAAATCAGTCATTAAAAAGAAAAGCTAATAAAATAAACATTAAAAGAAAAAATACATGGATAAAAGTTACAGTGCTGTCAATTAAACATTAAAAGAAAAAAGTACATGGATAAAAGTTACAGTGCAGTCTAAGATATGAATAGTTCAATTAAAAGCAGCGACAAAAAGAAAAGTCTTCAGCCTGGATTTAAAAGTAGTAAGAGTTGCAGCGGACCTGCAGGTTTCTGGGAGTTTGTTCCAGATATTTGGAGCATAATAACTGAACGCTGCTTTACCATGTTTAGTTCTGACTCTGGGGACAGAAAGCTGACCAGTCCCTGAAGACCTGAGAGATCTGGATGGTTCATAATTTAGCAGGAGGTCAGAAATGTATTTTGGGCCTAAACCATTCAGTGCTTTATAAACCAGCAGCAGTATTTTGAAATCTATTCTTTGACACACAGGAAGCCAGTGTAAAGACTTCAGAACTGGAGTGATGTGATCCACTTTCTTAGTGTTAGTGAGGACTCGAGCAGCAGCGTTCTGAATCAGCTGCAGCTTCCTAATAGATTTTTTAGTGAGACCTGTGAAGATACCATTGCAGTAGTCGAGTCTACTGAAGATAAAAGCATGGACAAGTTTTTCCAAATCCTGCTGTGACATTAGTCTTTTAATCCTAGATATATTCTTTAGGTGATAGTAGGCTGATTTATTAACAGTTTTAATGTGACTGTTGAAACTCAGGTCAGAGTCCATGACTACACCTAGATTTCTGGCTTTATCTGTTGTTTTGAACATTGCACACTGAAGCTCAGCGCTAACTTTTATACGTTCTGCCTTGGCTCCAAAAACCATTACCTCAGTTTTATCTTTGTTTAATTGGACAAAGTTCTGACACATCCAGTCATTGATTTGTTCAATGCACTTACTCAGTGTTTGAATTGGAGCATAGTCTCCTGGTGAAATTGTTACGTAAATTTGTGTGTCATCTGCATAGCTATGGTAACTTATTTTGTTGTTCTTCATTATCTGAGCCAGTGGTAGCATGTAGATGTTAAAGAGAAGAGGCCCCAAGATTGAGCCTTGAGGAACCCCACATGTCATATTTGTCAACTCAGATGTGTATTTACCTATAGAAACAAAGTTGTTTCTGTCCTTTAAGTAGGATTCAAACCAATTCAGAACTGTTTCCGAAAGTCCCACCCAGTTTTCCAGTCGGTCTAGTAATATGCTGTGGTCAACAGTGTCAAACGCAGCACTGAGATCTAATAATACTAACACTGAAGTTCTGCCACTGTCTGTGTTTAAGTGGATGTCATTAAAGACTTTTACAAGAGCAGTCTCAGTGCTGTGGTTTGGACGAAAGCCTGACTGGAACACATCAAAACAGTCATTTAAATGCAAGAAATTACTCAACTGTTGAAAAACAACTTTTTCAATGATTTTACCTAGAAATGGGAGGTTTGATATGGGCCTGTAATTGTTCATTACTGAAGCATCTAGATTATTCTTTTTTAAGAGCGGTTTAATGACTGCAGTTTTCAGGGCCTGTGGAAAAATACCTGAGTGAAGAGATTTGTTTACTATATGAAGTAGATCTGAGGCCATGCAAGGCAAAACATCTTTGAAAAATCCTGTTGGAATAATATCAAGGCAGCAAGAGGAGGATTTCAGAAGTTGAATAATGTCCTCTAGGTTTTTATCATTAATCTGATGGAATTGTGTCATGATGTCTGAATTGATGTTAAGTGGAGATAGGGACAACACATTTGCTGTTCCTGATGCAGAGGCACTGACTGCTTGTCTGATTTTCTGAATTTTGTCAGTGAAAAAGTTGGCAAAATCATTGCACGCCCTGGTGGATAGAAATTCAGAGGCTACTGACACTGGGGGGTTAGTTAGTCTGTCGACGGTAGCAAACAAGGCACGTGCGTTGTTTTTGTTTTTGGTAATGATGTCAGAGAAGAACGATTGTCGTGCGTTTTTCAATTCCAAATTATAAAGGCCAAGTCTCTCTTTATAGATTTCAAAGTGAACCTGGAGATTTGTTTTTCGCCACCTGCGTTCAGCTTTTCGACATTCTCTTTTTTCTGTTTTCACGGTCATGGCCTTTCTCCATGGAGATATTTTCTTGCCAGACACTTCCTTTACCTTAGTTGGAGCAATGGCATCTATAACATTTTTAATTTTTGAATTAAAATGATCTACTAGCTCATTTACTGAGATGTTGGCAGGGGCAAGTGTGGAAGAGAAATTCTGAGTAAACATTTCCCTAGTATTTTCAGTTAAACATCGCTTTGTGGTTACCTCTTTTTGAACATTTTTGTGAACAGAAATAGAGCTCTCAAAGAAAACACAGGAATGGTCAGAGAGTGCAACATCAGTCACCACAACCTTAGAGATATTCAGACCCTTTGAGATAATTAAGTCCAGAGTGTGCCCCTTATTGTGCGTGGGC